ATTCCATCAATAAACACATCCACCTGTGCTTGCTAAGTTTTAAAATAGACCAATTTTACTATAATTGGAATATTGGACCACTTTCATGTTTTAAAATATATATACACACGTGTATATACACATATATAATATGTATAAATATACATAAAATATATATAATATATATAAATATACGATCACTGATATTCCATTTTGGCACATGAATTATATAGCCAAAGGAACAGTTCCTTCATGAAGGACAATTAAAGTTCTAAATATTAAGCTTACAGTAAAGCTCACTTAATTTGAATACCATTCACTTTGTCATCATTTTAGCCCAGTGGTACAATCAGAATATGACATACAGGGGGTATTATTTTTAACACCACTTCCTCTATGTGACAAAATTATTTCAAGTAATGATCATGAAATGAAGCAAATATAATAGCCAGGAAAGATACTGATTGTGAAAATTCTTTTTTTTAAGATTTTATTTTTTCATTCGAGAGAGAGAGAGCACGCATGTGCACACGTGTGAGCTTGGGGGGCGGGGGGGACGACATGGGCAGTGGGAGAGAATGTCAAGCTGACTCCACGCAGAGTGTGGATTAAGGGCTCCATCTCACCACCCTGAGATCATGACCTGAGCTGAAATCAAAAGTTGAATGTTCAACTGACTGAGCTACCCAGGCACCCCCAGACCATGAAAATTCTTTTATTCAACTCCACTTATATGCCAATAAAAAATAAATATTATAGCACCTCCAAAAAAGTACTGCAATTAACATTTTTGAAGAAAGTTCTACATTTTGGTCTGTTGAAGTACTAAATAAACACAATACATCTCCTATTCTCTTGTTCTTTAGTAAACACTAACAAAAAAAATAAATTTCAAAGCTAAAAATATTTCAATTATTTAAAAGAATAATTTCTTTTTTTAAATTTATTTATGATAGTCACACACACACAGAGAGAGAGAGAGGCAGAGACACAGGCAGAGGGAGAAGCAGGCTCCATGCACCGGGAGCCCGATGTGGGATTCGATCCCGGGTCTCCAGGATCGTGCCCTGGGCCAAAGGCAGGCGCCAAACCGCTGCACCACCCAGGGATCCCTAAAAGAATAATTTCATATATGAACTAAAATTTGTACTTACCAACCAGAGATATTATACCTCAAAGTTTGTACTTTGTTTCGCTCTTAAATTTTCCACACAAATGAAAACCCTAACTGGTCACATGAAATAACGACACTGAAGCAATCAGGTTCGGTTTCTTCATCCTTACAATTGTAGTGCTACCTCTGTTTAACAAATAAGAATTATTTAAATGAAATATGGACCAAAGGAGGACATGAACTGTGCCCAAAATTCTGGATTACTCTGCATTTTTTTTAAAGATTTATTTATTTATTTATTTATTTATTTATTTATTTATTTATTTATTCATGATAGAGAGAGAGAGGCAGAAACACAGGCAGAGGGAGAAGCAGGCTCCATGCAGGGAGCCCGACGTGGGCCTCAATCCCGGGACCCCAGGATCGCACCCTGGGCCAAAGGCAGGTGCCAAACCGCTGGGCCACCCAGGGATCCCCTTACTCTGCATTTGTATACATTTACTTGGGAAAATACCCATACAGATGAGTCTATATGTATTGAAGTCACACATACTCCGGTTTTTTAGGATTCTCATTAACTCCGATTGGCCTTCTCCCTGCATGTCCCAAATACATGAGGTTGCACTATAAATCGATACCAGAAAAGGTTTTAAAGTATTAACAGACACCTGAACAGTAACAATTTAAGATTAAATTGGTATTAACTTTCACAATCACGTGGCATCAGATGCATATGTTCTATTCTTAGGAGCAACTACAAGAGAACAAATTGTAACTGCCATCAGTCTTTTGCACACATTCACAAGACCACCTTAACGTCTAACCCACCCCGCTGTAACTCCGTAGCTACACGCGTGCACACACTTTATGTGATGCTTTTTGTGCCCAAGATTGTGAATCCGAGAAACCACCGAGGAGCCGACACCGATGCAAACACACGAGGGTTTATTCACAAGCTCGAGCTTGGGTCCAAGTGCACCCGACCCAGCGGAGCAAGGACTTGGACCCTGAGGGGGCTTCCAGCTGGGTTTTTATGGGCTGGTCTAGGGGATTTTCAGAAGTGGGTGGAGGAATTTCTTAAGCTTTCTTTTCATCCCACTATGGGATTTTCTGTCTCTGTCCAGGCGTTCTGAGCTCTGCTTTCATTCTGATATGGGATTTTCTGTCAAGGGCTTTAAGCTCTGTTCTTATTCTGTTATGGGACTCTCTGTCAAGGGTGTTGTGCGGTTTTTCCTGTACAGTTCAGCTCTTATTCCCAGGGCCCTGAGATGCCTGTACTTGTGCTAACGCTGAACTTGAGGTGGAACGGCCTTGATTTTCTCGGCCTCCACATGCTGATACTCTTGAAAAGAGTCTTTTTAACCCAGAGAAGTCCTGGGGTGCCCAGTTGGCAGAGCATGTGATTCACGACCTTGGGGTCATGGGTTCAACCCCACATTGGGTGTAGAACTCATTTAAAAAGAAACATCTGACTTCCCTCGAAAGGCATTTTGCAGTGGGCTTCGGTGCAAGTGGCCGCCACACCAGGAGCCACGTCTGGCAGGAAAGCGACACACAAGCCTTAACCCAGTGAAGCTCTTCCACTGCGGAACTCCCTCACCCAGAAGGTTCCCTCTGGTTAGTCACCTGGTCCCCCCAAGCAGCACCTGTTCTTACAGCTCTAGCATCCCCAACCTCCCTACTGTGAGAGTCCCTGGAGCAGGCAAAATAACAGTCACGTGCTACTCTCCTGTAGGTGACACTTTAATGGATTTGAGGTAAGGCTCCAGAATCTGTTTTGGGTTTGCTTGTTTAAGATTTTTATTTATTGGGGATCCCTGGGTGGCGCAGCGGTTTAGCGCCTGCCTTTGGCCCAGGGCATGATTCTGGAGACCCGGGATCCAGTCCCAAGTCGGGCTCCTGTGTCTCTGCCTCTCTCTCTCTCTGTGACTATCATAAATAAATAAAAATTAAAAAAAGATTTTTATTTATTTATTCACGAGAGACACACACAGAGAGAGGCAGAGACACAGGCAGAGGGAGAAACAGGCTCCACGCAGGAAGCTGGACGCGGGACTCCATCCCGGGATCCCGGGGTCACGCCCTGGGCCGAAGGCAGGTGCTCCACCACTGAGCCCCGCAGGGATCCCCAGAATCTGGTTTTGAACAGGAAACCCCAAGTGAGTCTCACAGGTGTGTTTAAGAACAAGCTAAAGTGAAGAGGCTGGCCAGAGCTGTCCTCCTCCGGGTTGGGGCAGAATCTGAAAGTGAGAGGAGGGTGAGTTTTGAGAAAACCCAAGGCCACCTGGTCCACCTGATCCACCCGGTGCAACTGGTCCACCTGATCTACCTGGTGCACCTGGTCCACCCGGTCCCAACCCCGAGAACGACCTCGCGGGAGCGCGGACGCCCGGGTGCCAACCACATTATACGGGTTTGGGGATTTTCTTCACCTTCCCCATTCGCGGTGGTGGCCCTGCGCGTCCTGGAGCTGCGGCTACTGGAACAGGGTTGGGTGCCCCCTGGGAGGCGCGGGCCAGGGACTCCTCCAAGGGGGTCGCACCCGGAACCGCAAACCGCCTCGGGCTGCGGACTCCGGCAGCCGGCGACCCTGTGGGTCGGGGTGCTGGGCAGCGTGTGGGTGCTACGCCCTCGGGGCGCCCAGGGTCACCCCGCGGCCTGGCCCGCCCCAACCCCCCCCCGCCCCGGGTCACGGACAAGCCGGGGCCGCGCAGGGGGCTCTCCGCGTCACCTGCAGGCCAGCTCCCTCCGAACCCGTCAGCGCGAGCAGCACGCGGAGCCCCGGCCCAGCTCGCCCGCGGGAGCCCCGCTCCGCCCACGGACTCCCCGCTCCAGGTCGGGGACCCAGCCTCCGCGGAACCCCGCGACCGGGGCGAGGTCGCTCCACGCCCAGCCTCCACCCTGCGGCCCGCGGAGCAGAGGAGGCGGGGCATTGGGTGGGGGCGGGGCGCGTGGGCGGGGCATGGCGGCGTGGTCAGGGCGGGGCGACGGGGAGGGGCGGGACGGGGCCGAGACGGAGGGGCGGGGCGACGGGCGGCGCGGGGGCGGGGGTGGGGGCGGGGCGACGTCGCGGGGGGCGGGGTCAAGCCACCCCCCCGGACCGCGTGCGTAAACCGGGGTTCCCAGACCGTTCAAGTGTTTCGACAGAAGTGTCAGGGCCCCGTGGCTGTATTTTTGGCAAGAACTGAGGACACGGGGCCTGAGTCCGGCGGCTGCCCAGGGCGGCGCTCGCAGACGTCAGAGGGTAGACACCGGCACGGACAAGGACTGTCGTCGGGGGCGCGGGACACCTGCTGCGCGCCGGGCCCGCCGCCCCGCCCCCAGCCACGCCCAGCTCCGCCCCCGCCACGCCCCCAGCAACGTCCAGCTCCGCCCCCGCCACGACCCAGACCAGCCACGGCCCCGCCCAGCCACGCCCCCAGCCGCGCGGCCCTCGCGTCGAGGGCACAGCCCCCCCGCCCCCGGACACGGCCCACCCACCCCTGCGGTGCGCCCCCCGGCCCCTTCACAGCCGTGTCGGAATGTCACGGACGAGGGCGAGCAGCGCGTCTAAAAAGCCTTCGTGGAGGACGGCCGTGGAGGGCTAAGGAGCGCGGTGGTCCGGGGGTCCCGGCCGAGGCCCGGCAGGCGGGCCCTGACAGCGGGCACCGGGGGTCAGAGGCCCCGCCCCGGGTCGCACGGCGGCATCTACGCCCGCACGGCCTCAACCCGCCGCCCGCCCGCCCCGGGGCACAGCGGGACGGAGCCTTCACCTGCGGGAGCTGTGCCGGCTGCACTGAGCGCGCCCGCCCCTCCTCCCCCCCTCCCCCACCGCGGGCTCCGGGACGGCCGCCGGGGCGCGTGCGCGCGGAGGAGCGGGGCGCGGGCGCGCGGGGCGCGGGCGGCGGAGCGAGGGCGCAGGCGCGGGCCCGGGAGCCGGAGGACGAGGCCGCGCGCGCCCGGAGCGCGGGGGGCGGAGGAGCCGAGGCCGCGGCCCGGAGCCGGGAGCCCGGGAGCCCGGGAGCGCGAGCCGCGCCGCCGGAGAGCCGAGTGGATCCCGGCCCAGGCAGCAGGTATGTCGGCGCGTGGCGGGGCCTCCTCCCCGGAGCGCGGTGGGGCCCGGCCGGTGCGGGGGGGGGGGGCCGGCGCTGACCTTCATCCCAGCTCCCGGGGGCGGCGGGCGTGCCGGGCCGTGCGGGGCTCGCGGCTCCTCCGGGCTGGGCTGCTGGGCTCGGCCGCCGCGGACGCTCTTCCCTCCCGCGCTTCGCCCGCGTCCACCCTGCAGCCGGGAACCGCGCGGGCTGCGCTGCGGGGGCCGCTGAGGGGGGCCCTGCGGGTCCGGGTCGGGGGCTGCTGTGGGGTGCAGAGTCCGCCTGGCGCCTGTGCTCGGCCGCGGCCGCCTGCGAGGGGCTCCGCCGGGGCGCGGGGGCAGCGTCACTGGCAGGGTCGGGGCACGGAGAGCAGCATCCCCTGCAGGGCCGGGGCGTGGGGGGCAGCCTCGCAGGCAGGGTCGGGGCGCGGGGTCAGCATCCCCGGCGAGGTCGGGGCGCGGGGGGGCAGCCTCACAGGCAGGGTCGGGGCGCGGGGGGGGGCAGCATCCCCAGCAGGTTCAGGGCACGGAGGGCAGCATCCCCTGCAGGGTGGCGGCGCGGGGGGCAGCATCCCCGGCAGGGTCAGGGCACAGGGGGTAGCCTCGCAGGCAGGCCGGGTCCCGTCGCAGGCAGGCACAGCCCAGGGCAAGTGGGTCTTTGCCAACTTGCCAACGAGGCTGAGAGGCCGCAGGCTGTCCGCTGATCGCAGCAGCAAGGCCTTGAACCCGGTGCTCGGGACCCCTGGGGACCCCTCGGGCTCCCATACCAAACTCATCAGGACTTTGCATCTGAGGATGACTGAATCTTGCCACCTGTTGGAAGTCAGACCCACCGATCCCCGCTTCGGTCACTAACACCAGCGACAGGCCCACACTGGCTTTTCCTGCCTTCTTGAATATTGCTTGGCTTTTGCTCTTTTAAAATAAAACCCGTGATTTGATGCTCTGTATGTTATAAATTACATGAATTGTTTCTATTCCACGCACTTACAACTTGTCCTGATGACTGAATTTCGCTTCAGTGTCCACATTACCGATTTCCGAGCTCCCCCTTGCTTGGAGCAGCAGGTCCAAAAAGTGGGATACATGGAACTGATGACCTTTCTCTGCCCCTCCCCGCATACTGTGGTAAAAGGAATAGTAAAAACTAGAAGCATAAAATGAAAGTGAGCATCACGGGATGCCCAGGTGGCTCAGCAGTGGGGCACCTGCCTTCAGCCCAGGGCGTGACCCCAGGGTCCAGGATCAAGTCCCGCACCCGGCTCCCTGCAGGGAGCCTGCTTCTCCCTCTGCCTGTGTCTCTCATGAATAAGTAACTAAGTCTTAAAAAAAAAAAAGAAAGAAAAAGCAGCTCTGTTTAAAAGAAAGAAAGAAAATGAGTATCACCAGCCATTGGGCTATGGCCACAGAACTCAGTGCTTGTAAAACGCAGTGTGCCCCATCTAATCATGAGGACACGTTCTTAAGTGTGCATATGTGCCAGGAAGATGAAGAAGCTAAGACTAAGAAAGCTCTAACGTGCCCAAGGTCACACAGTCAGGACGTGGCGAGGATAAAGATGCAAACTCACGTGCGTCTGATTGCCGGGGGTCGATGGGCACGGGGAGGAACCTTTAACCCTGGTGCTGTCGCTGCCTCTGTGTTTTAGTTAAGGTCAAGCTTGTGCATGAGCGAACCTGCTTGGACCTGATTCCCCTTTCACAGATTCCACATCAACCTTAGTGGCTTTCCAGTAGGAGAAATCGTTGTTTCAGGATGGGTCTGTGTGGAATTTTTTGCGGTGGCACTGAGCCTGCAAGAAATGGTATCCTAGACGTGCTTCCACTTAGCGCTCTCAAGCAAGCATTTAAGTCCAAAAAAGTTGTTTTCCTTCAGATTTAAATCTATAAAACGTATGCGCATCAAATAGAATGAATCACTCATGCTTTTCATTATCTCATCCCACTCCAGTCTTCCTGCCACCCCGCACACTCACTTGTGGTCTCAGTGCCAGTCATGAGAACAACATTGTCTATCACACCAGCACATGAATTCCTTAAGGGGGTGAAGGAATCCACACCGGTTGTGCACCAGTCTCTCTACAGTGGCGGCACATATTCACTTGAATAATCTTAGAATCTGTGCATTCAGCTATGGATATATACTGACTCTTTTTTTTTTGCAAGTGAATTATGATAATGCAAGTAATGGACTTTCACTACACATTCCTAGTAGTTCTCATAGACTTAGAAATTTCTATAGTTGCATCCATGGAAAACCCAATCGGTGGGGCTACGCACTTTTACATTAAAGTCACGTATTTAAGATGGTGGTGAGAAAGATAGAGGTAAATATGAGGGGTTATTTGAAAATTATATCCCGTGGAAGGTACAGTTTTTAATTATAAATTTAGGGCTGATATTAGGAAATACAAGACTCTCTTACAAATTCCATAAGCTCTGTCTTTCCTCCTCAGGCAATATGACTGGTTGTAGAACATGATCTTACTTTTTTTCATTATACTGTGTTGACAGTAAAGCAATTTGCATAGCAATTTTGCCTCATGGAAAACCCTGGGTTTTAGAAGAGCACATTCCCTAGTACTTATGGAAATGCTGAGTTGGAGTCTTTCTGCCCTGAGGATTTCCAGTCTGTGATCAGATAAACTCAAGAGGAGTCCTGATGTTACTGGAGAAGCAGCAAAAAAGCAAAGAGCAGTGTTGCTTGCTTTCTGGAGAGGAAATGGGTTTTCCGATGTAGAGCATCACTGTTTTCTTCAGTCAGAAATCTCATAATTAAAAAGCATCCAAGAAGTAGAAGAAGTCTGCTCTCTACCATTCAAGCAGGATTTTATTTAATGCAGAGTTGAGCATCCTTTTGGGTGCAGTGGTCATCTGAGGAATGTAAAAATGTTTCTGGACTACATTTTTTTTTCTCGAATCATATCTAAACTGGGAAAAGCCGTATGATCAGCTACAGATGCTTACGCATTATTTTTTCCTCTCACCAAGTGTGTTTTGGGGTTTTTTTGGAGGTGAGGAGAGCAACTAAAATTTTTCCAAGCTCAAGGTAGCATGCGTTGCAGTGACTGATTGTAATGCACATTTTAATGCATCATTGACTAAAACACTGGGAACTGGCTTATTTGTCTTTGACCTTGTTGAGCTACTTAGTTGTGAAATGTGTGGGGTTTTTTTTGTTGTTGTTATAGTATTTTTGCTATTCTATCAAATTTTTTTTTTCAGCGTCAACAATCTTGAATTGTTAAAAGAAGTTCACAGTCAGCTTACTTTAAGATACTTTATTTTCACCGACTCTTTTTCTCTCCCTGGTGGCAGCCTTTGCAAGAGTTTTAATTTTGCTAAGAAAGTGACTCACAATCCACAAGTTAATGCATCCCCTTCCCAAAGTGGGTGCACATAATTCACTTGCCAGCCAGGCGCCCCCCTGTAGGACCTTGTAGCTCCCTTTGGCCTTATGTGGCCCCCCTCCCCTGTAGGACCTTTATCTGTGAACCCTGTAGCTCCCTTTGGCCTTATGTGCACCCACTTTCCTCTCTGAGAAGGAGTAAGGGTTCCTAAGGTCCCCCCCTCCCCCCCCCCCGGGCAGGCCTCGCTTGGTGAGCAAGGTGGAATAGTGGCTCCTGGATACTGATGTCGGAGAGGCCAGGAAATCACTTCTCCTGCCCCAGCACTAGCCTGTGCTGTGATTTCTGCTCATGAGAGCAGCACATGCTCATCGTGAGGTGCTGACGCGCTACGTGCATGTGGAAGGTAGAAGCTCAATGGCTAGAGTCTTTAGTGGTCTTTCCCCTTGGCGATCGATAGTCAACATTAATAGTTTGCTGTGAATTCTGGATTTTGTAATGTGGATAGTGAAATGTTACTGTTTGCCAACAATACTATACATAGATGCATATCACTTGCAGGGGCTTTTTTTTTTTTTATTCCACCGGGTAATGTCTCACTCACAGAGGCCCTTGAACAGCAATACTTCTGGACGCGTTTTATTCGGCCGCAACGGGAGTTAGAGGAGAGGAGCCCCTTCGCCGAGGGAGAGGCAAGGGCCCCTGTGTGCTGGGGAGGAGCTGGGCATGATCCAGGGCCTGTGATGGATACTTTTCCTTTCTGTATCTCTTTTACCCCTTTGCAATTACCCTTGGTGGCTAACTGTGTATAAATGAGAGACGAGTCCGAGGCCCCAGAGGTTTACGGAGCCAGGCTGAGGCCCAGGCCCAGGTGAGTGTGGCTCGGGGTCCAGGAAGGCGCTCGGCCTCTGCCCGTCCGCACCGGCTGGCTCGCGGCCTCGGAGCCCTGGCCCTGGTGGTGCTCTCTGGGAATGCCCTTCCCCGACGACATCTGCTGGGTTTGTGCCCTCACTTCTTTTTGGCTTTGCCCAAAGTACGACTATGCCTTTAAAACGAAGTTCTGGGCAGCCCCAGTGGTGCAGCGGTTTAGGGCCGCCTGCAGCCCGGGGCGTGACCCTGGAGACCCGGGATTGAGTCCCACGTCGGGCTCCCTACACGGAGCCTGCTTCTCCCTCTGCCTGGGTCTCTGCCCCCCCCCCTCTCTCTCTGTGTCTCTATGAATGAATAAATAAAATCTTTTAAAATTTTAAAAAAATAAAAGTTCTCTCCCATAAGCACTCCTGGCCTCCTCCCAGCCTTGTTTTCCTCCATAGCCCGTCCTAGTTTTCCCTGTAAGTTGGCGGTTTTGTTTATTGTCCACCTCCCGAGGGAGGGAGTGCTCCAGCGCCAGGCTTTGTCTGTCTCGCTCACTCCCCAACCCTGGTGTTGTGGGAAGGAACTGGCCAGTGGCCACGGCCCCGTCCTTGTTAGTCCTCAGCCTTGGCCACCTCCTAAATGCGAAGGCTCTATGTGTGTGTTTGAGGGAACAGCAGAGGAGAACCAGGAGAGGTCTCAAGAGGATGTCAGGGTGAGAGAAACCTCCCAGGTAGACAAGGGAAGATGGAAAGTCAGCTGAGGGCTGAGACGGGTGACAAGGC